ATTCCTGCCAAAACTTACTTCATGTTTTTGGGATTCGCTATTCAAGCGTGTATAATTATATGAAATATTTGTCTGAATAATTTTACTTTATGCCTCATTCTAACCAAATAACCGGGTATATTCTATGGTATCACATAAAGCCGATTCAATTCAACTTTAAAAGACAACAAAAATAAAACTTTTGTTTTGAATATTTTCCTACCTCAGGGCTTTGCCATAAAACATATTTGCAACACTGACCATAGAAAGAGTTTGAATTAGTGCTATTCTTATCATAATTTGTGTCAATGATTTAGCGATAACTGCATATTTCTGCAGTATGATGGTATTCAGTAACTTTTGCCATGTTAGCGATTGGAGGCGAGTGGTTGTGTCATTAGTGCTGGTGATGAAGTGATTAGTTCTTTTATAGACACTAGCAGAGGCAACTGTTTCTGATTACATATTATTTCATCTGGACAATTTTAAAAGCCTCATGCCGAAGATAAGAGAAATCTTTTGCTACGACAAGGGACTGCGAGCTTGACAGAAAAGACACAAAAGAACCCTAGAGCCAAATGACATATTCGCAGGGCAATTGTTTGTGATGCTTATACCTTACAGAATCTTGTTTTGTGCTTTATTTTTAGTAAGCCACTTGGGCGAAATGGACGATGATCTTGCAATGGAAAAGCCACAAAAGCAGGTATAGTTAAACATGTTTATATGTCAGCAAATTTTATGCATAGGCGATAGATGAAAAAATATTTTTGCAGGCAATCGTGCTGTAAGAAAGTATTATGACGTCCTAAACCGTTTTGGTGATAGATTCCTCCGTATCTAGACCTAAAATTCAATTATTTCACCATGACCACCTGCTTTTGGTTTTATTAACATTAGGAACTCTGAGAGTTAAGTTAGATTTTGATAAAAGGATTAACAGCTAATCAGGATACAGTCTAAAAAATCTACCAGAAGACGACGACGGATTCCTCTTGACCAGCTGTCGATTGTCTTTGCTGGAAGATTCATTCTGACGCTGTTTCTGAGGCAATCTCCTTCGATTCCGGTGAAAAGGTGCTAAGCTTTCGT